AGCCCACCTACCTCCCCAGCCCCTCCAGGCACAGCAGCTCCAGCTGGGGCAGAGACCTCCTCATCAGGAGAGAACCCCCTCCCCCGAGCTCCCCTCCCAGCCCTCCCGCCTGCCCAGCCCCCAAGCACCGCAGCTTGAGCTGGGGCAGAGACACCCCTTCCCCCCCACGAACTGCAGCTCCCAGGATCACAGACCCTCCCTCCCCCACACCTCACTTCCACTGCCCTCCCAGACACAGCCCGCAGAATCCCTACCCCCTCACCTCCACCAGCTTCTTGCTGCTCTTCTTGGGGCCCGGCAGGGGCCGCTCGTGCAGAGTGCCGTTGGGGGTCAGCTTGTGCTTCTGGAATGTCAGCTTGATCCCCTCCTCCTGGGGCAGACACTGGGTCAGCACCAACACCAAGGGGGGGCCACCCCCCACCCTCCTTCAGGGGCCTCAGGTCTCCATGAGAAGGAAGTTTTAACTCATTCCTCCCTGGGGCAGAGCCACATGCACTGCTGGGGGGGTCGGTATTAGCATGGCAAGTCATCACAGGCACCCCCATATCCCCTGCGCGGTTCGTCCGGAGACTCACGTCCTTGATCTGCACGGTGAACTCCTTCTCCTCGGGGCTGTGCCGGAGGCGGGTGTACAGGGCTGGCGCCTCCTCTTGGGAGCACGTGTGGGGGGCGGGCGAGCTGGCGTAGTCCCCTGGCAGCCGGGGAACAGAGTCCCCGTGGCCCCCACAGAGCTCCTGGCTACGGTGACCTGTGGGCCACTTGCCCGACAGCACAGCCTGGCACACCAGATCGATGCGGTTAATGAGCACCCGGTCCTAGGAGAGACAGGAGTGTCAGCGTCACCACAGCAACCCCACAACCAGCCACGGAACCACAACAACCTCCTATACCCCTCAAAACCACAGCAGCCACCCTTCACAACCAGCCACAGAACCACGGCCACCCCTCCTCATCCCAGAATCACAGCAGTCACCCTTCACAACCAACCACGTAACCACGGCAACTACCCCCTCACAACCAGCCACGGAACCACAGCCACCCCTCCTCATCCCAGAATCACAGCAGTCACCCTTCACAACCAACCACGTAACCACGGCAACTACCCCCTCACAACCAGCCACGGAACCACAGCCACCCCTCCTCATCCCAGAATCACAGCAGTCACCCTTCACAACCAACCACGTAACCACGGCAACTACCCCCTCACAACCAGCCACGGAACCACAGCCACCCCTCCTCATCCCAGAATCACAGCAGTCACCCTTCACAACCAACCACGTAACCACGGCAACTACCCCCTCACAACCAGCCACGGAACCACAGCCACCCCTCCTCATCCCAGAATCACAGCAGTCACCCTTCACAACCAACCACGTAACCACGGCAACTACCCCCTCACAACCAGCCACGGAACCACAGCCACCCCTCCTCATCCCAGAATCACAGCAGTCACCCTTCACAACCAACCACGTAACCACGGCAACTACCCCCTCACAACCAGCCACAGAACCACGGCCACCCTCATCATCCCAGAATCACAGCAGCCACTTCATCAAAACCAAGCATGGAACAGCCACAGAAACACCACCAATGATGTGGTACAAATGCTCCAGTCTGGGGGAGACAAGGGTGCCAGTGTCACCATGGCAACCCCAGCCCCCCAAATTGCCCCCACCCAACTCCCCAGAGGCTTGGGGGTGGGCTTGTTACCTCTCCCAAGCATTACCTTGGGCCACTCGTGGGCTCGCTGTCGCTCCTGCAGCAGCAGCTCCGGGGCAGTGGGCTGGGGCGAGTCGCCCTCCTGGGAGGTGGGCAGGGACAGCAGGGAGCAGCAGCTCCGGGGCAGTGGGCTGGGGCGAGTCGCCCTCCTGGGAGGTGGGCAGGGACAGCAGGGATTCCTCCTCCTCAGACAGCTTCCCCCTGCAGGGCATGGGACCTAGGGTGGTGGGGAAGAGC